CTGCCGCCACCGACACCTCCACCCCCACCTCCGCTCCCACCGCCACCCCCACTCCCCCCGCCGCCTCCACCTCCACCTCCACCGCCCCCGCTCCCTCCTCCAGTGCCTCTGCCCCCCTTGCCCTTGCTAGAGCGGCGTCTCCCGCTAGGGGCAGACGCCGCACCGACCGACTCAAGACCAAGGAGGTCGGCCGCAGCAGCAGAGGCAACGGAGGGCAGAAGGGGGGAGGGTGAACACCCCTCAAAGATGGGGGTGCGCGGGTCACCACGAGAGGCCCCTAAAGCGACTATGCTCTTCTCGGCCGCTAGGAGGGACTTCTCGAGGAGGTCAACAGTTAGGGTGGTGGGACAGACTGAGAGGAATTGGTCCCTAACTACGCGAAGGGAGTCAGGGAGGCGAGTGACTATGTAGTAGAGAGTGATGTACAAAGGGGGGGGGGGGGGGTTCTTGGCGCAGAAGTCAGCAGGAAGCGCAGCGCGGTAGCGAGTGTCACTAGTGCGGAGGTGCGTAATGAGGTCAGCGACTGTGGGAAAGGCAGCAAGGTCAGGGAAGAGGTACGGTAGCATGAGGCGGCTCAGTGCAGCAGTGGCAGGGGAAGAGTAGCGCGCAACTACAGCGTCGTACAAGGTCTGAGCACTCTTGTACTGACTAAAGTGCGCGCGCTCAGTGGTAGGCAGGTGGCGACGCACAGCAAGACGTGCAGCAGCATCGCGAGTGGCCCACTGTGAGCGAACAGTGGCGTCGGCATCGGCAGCAGGGGCAGGGGAAGCACCAGAGGTGAGGTCAAAGAGGGAGAGACCGTCTGCCCTATCGCACTGTAGGAAAAGCTGCAGGTCATCTACCCAGACGTCAAAGTCAATGGCCCGACCCTCAGCGTCAAAAGTGAGAACACTGGGGGTAGCCATGACAGCTGTAGACTAGCAGCGCTAACTGTAGAGCAGGGGCAGTGCGGTGACAGAGGCGCTGCGCTCACCAGACAGGGCGGTTCGGGCGGCTCGGCAGCAACTGCGGCTCGGCGGCACCCGCGGCTCGACTCCTCAGCTGCTCAGGCGGCTCGAGCGGCTCGGGCGGCTCGGGCGGCTCGGGCGGCTTAGCGGCGCGGGCGGCTTGGCTGCGTAGGCGTTCGGGCGGGGCCGTAGGTAGGGCGACGGGGCCGGTGCGCAGGTAGGGCGACGGGGCCGGTGCGCAGGTAGGGCGACGGGGCCGGGGCGCAGGTAGGGCGACGGGGTCGGGTCGAAGGTAGGGCGACGGGGCCGGGGCCGGGCCGTAGGTAGGGCGACGGGGCCGGGTCAAAGGTAGGGCGACGGGGCCGGTGCGCAGGTGGGGCGACGGGGCCGGGGCGCAGGTAGGGCAACAGGGCCGGGTCGAAGGTAGGGCGACGGGGCCGGTGCGCAGGTAGGGCGAAGGGGCCGGGGCCGGGGCGCAGGTAGGGCGACGGGGCCGGGTCGAAGGTAGGGCGACGGGGCCGAGGCCGGGCCGTAAGGAGGGCGACGGGGCCGTGTCGAAGGTAGGGCGACGAGACCAGGGCGCAGGTAGGACGACGGGGTCGGGGCGCAGGTAGGGCGACGGGGCCGGGGCGCAGGTAGGGCGACGGGGTCGCTAGGGCGACGAATCAGGGGCCGCTAAGGCGGCGCGACTCAGTCAAGGAAGGGAGCGCGACTCGGGCTGAGCGCGCTCCGGGCAGGAAAAAAAAACTTTCGACTTGGTGGGCCCTAGGCACAGTTCCCACGAGGGAACCTGCTCTGATACCATGAGAAGAAAACGATAATGAATGAACTGAGTGCAAGTACTAACCCTAATTGAGTTGTACCCCTTATGGGCTACCCCACTATAGCCTACACAATAAGCACAAGCCATATGTTCTGACAGTGATATCGCCATCGGAGCCGTACTGCTAAAGGATTTCGGCAATGGCCTACAGCCTATCGCATACGAGTCACGAAAACTGCATCCGCCCGAGAAAAATTACCCGATACACGACCGCGAAATGCTTGCGATCGTGCACGCGTTCAAAGTATGGCGCTGTTACTTGACTAGCGCGGACGTGACACTACGGACAGACCATAAATCACTACAGTACCTTCGCGCACAGCCACACCTCAACCCACGACAGATTCGCTGGCTCGATTTCCTCGAGTCCAACTTTCACTACACGGTCACTTACAAAAAGGGAGCCTCGAACATCGCCGACGCACTGACCCGCCCCACTGCCCAGATCCACGCAATACTACTCGCCCAGACAAGCCCGCTACTGACAGGCCTATTCACCCCCGGGTACCAAACGGATCCATTCTTCACAGGAGGAAATTCGCAGCAGTTCGTAGCAGCAAAGGGAGTCTATTACGTAAAAACCGGGACTGACCGCATTTGGGTGCCTGGGTATACACTGCTACGGGAATTACTATTACAGGAGGCACACGAAGGAGTTACCTCGGGGCATTTCGGAGTAGAAAAAACACGGCAGCAGCTGCAGCGGTATTATTACTGGCCCGAAATGTTGACCGACGTACAACGACACGTGGCATCGTGTCCCACTTGTCATCTCATGAAATCATCACGACAGCGGCCGGCGGGACAGTTGCAGCCGATACCACCCCCAGAGCGTGCTTGGCAGCAGGTGACGATGGACTTCGTCACGGGGTTACCAGCCGGGGCGAGTGGGAACGACGCGATCGTGGTCATCGTCGATCGACTGACGAAAATGGCACATTTCGCAGCCTGCAAAAAAATCAATCACAACCGAAGAAACAACACGCCTCTTCATCTCCACCGTCGTTCGACTGCACGGGATACCAGCCGCGATCATCAGCGACCGCGACACGAAATTCACCAGCAACTTCTGGCGAAACCTGTGGCAGCAGTTCGGCACGCGACTACAGTTCAGTTCATCATACCACCCCGAAACCGACGGACAGACAGAACGGACAAATCAGACCATGGAACAGCTCATCAGGGCCACGTGTGACGACCCGACCACGTGGGAACAGCAACTGCCACTAATCGAATTCGCGTACAACAACTCGCCATCCGCCACAACCCAACAGTCACCATTTTACCTAAACTACGGACAAGACCCGACAGTACCCATGACCCCGAATCCCGACAACCCAGTACTACGAGCACAACAATTCGCCGAAATATTACAAGCAGCACGGACCCGGGCAGTAGACGCAATAAAAAAATCGAACATCATCGCTAAACGCAACGCCGATCGTCACCGCAGACCTGTCACTTACCAGCCCGACGACTTGTTTTACTTGACACTCAGAACCTCCGACTGCCCATCACCCCGAAACTCCGCCCCTGATATTGCGGGCCATTTCGCATAAGCCACATGCTTACACCCGTCACCGCCCACCTCCTCCTCCATGCTGACTGGTACGTCAGCCCACCATTCCACGTCAGCCTACTTCGCCCTTACGTCCCGTCCACGAGCCAACGCCACGCAATCGCCCAGCCAGCATGACAAGACCACCAACCGAACCTATCGTCACCCCCGAGAAAATCCTGAGTCACAGAGTTCGCGACCCTCGAGGAGCCCGAAGGATCGAGTTCTTACTTCGCTGGAAGGACCGTACACCCACCGAAGACAATTGGGTTCCCATGGACAGAATCGAAAACCACCCCGTCCTCACCGAGTATCTCCGCAGCCGAAATTTCATGGATGTACACGCACTTTCGTAAGGAGGACCTCCTTATGGGGGGGGGGGGGGGGGGGGGGGGGTAGTGTAAGGAAAATTCCTTTTCCTTACTTCGCATCCCTGCTCAACGCGTACATCACTGTAGCACCACAGTCAGCACCGTTACCACTCGCAACCCTCGTATCGACAATCCGTACGCCACCTTCGCACATCGCACCCCGACCTCACGGCCTCGGCGGGTAACCCGCGCTCCGGGCCTCCGCTTCGACACTTTTTCCCAACCTCAGTCCCAGGCCCGTCGCGCGACAACCACAGTCCATTACCGTTACCACTGTAGTTTCGCTATATATTCTTCGCTCATGCCTTCGCTCATTGTACTCCTATTTCGATAGTGCAATTCTAGTTCCTTCACTCAATTGCACTAACAGAACTGCACTAAAAAAGCTTTTTACATCGAAGCAAATGATTCTGGTGTGGTCGCGGCTGTCGCAAATATCTGGTAACGAATTTCGCATTACAGAAATCTTTTCGCGTCGATGGTGGTCGTTGCCCACGTCGCGTGTTCTGTGGCTGCCTAGGGAAACCCTTCCGCATTTCCTCCCATCTCCTATCCCCACTCCAGTCCCCCAAATTTCCCGTTCGCGCCCCTCCCCCATCCCCTTTCCCCCACCCAGATCACATTTCCTCCCAGTTCCACTTCCATCACTTCTCGTCCGCCTCCTCCCCTCCAGATCTCTTCTGCTATCTTCCACCATTCGACTGCTCAGCCCGCCTCCGCGACCCATCTTTCGCCTCTCCCACCCTGCCCCCTTTTCCCCCCCCCACCCTATCCGTTCCTTCAATTCTCCCCTCGCGCCTTTGTGCCCCCCGTTCCCCTCGCCCTCCCCGCGCCTTTCAGTTTCCCATTCCCCGCGCCTACCCTAACCAACACCAAGGCCTCCTCCCCCTAGATTATCTCATGTTTGTTCGTTTGCTGCCAGAGCAGACCCCAACCCAAGGCACAACTGCCTCAATGGTTCGGCATTTTTTATCATTACCTAACTCCCTGTTGGATCTAAGCTCCTTTCTTATATTTGACCGAGTTTGTCGTTGGGCTGCTCCTGTGGATAATATTGAGGATCTTGTAGGCCTTTCTTACTGCTTAGAGGCTCGTCCGGGGGTTGGCCTTTTTAAGCGGTGAGAGTATCGCATTTCTCGCCGATCGTCAAGTTCACCTTGCCAGCCAGCAAACGGTCAGCAGCGGGGAGAACTTAGCGGACTTCGGCGGAAATTAAGAAGAAAGAGCGAGGGCTCGGGGGCGAGCAGGCGACGGAAACTATCACATTGAGTTAAAGTGAAGCCAGAAGCGCACAAGAAACCATGGTGTCACATGCGCAGCTGGACGGACACATCGCACAGCTGCAGGAGTGCAAGCCGCTCTCTGAAGCCGAGGTTCGTCCTGCGTGGGGATAAGCAGCAACGATCGATTATAATCTTAATCATTTTTTATACGCTCCGAACGCAGCGGCTTTTCGTTGTAATAGCTTGTCGAGTTGTTTGGGCGTGTCTGGGTGGAAGAGCTAGGGTGCGCCCTACAGGCCATTGGGTGGCCATGCAATCACGTTGTTCGTTTGAATCTTAAATGCGTCGTATCCGACATTGGCAGCAACTGCGGTAAACAGCATTACATTGGTGGATGGGAACAATGTTAGCATCGTGACATGTTCCCGCGATTCATGGACACGGCCGGCCGACCGTAGCGTTCGTGCGTTTGAAGCCAGTCATTCGCCTCGTTATAATTTCATTATCCCCTGAGTTGTTTCAGTCGAATGCATTTTCATATGTATTGCCCCTTTCTCAATGCGTCTAATTGCATGTGTTTGAATGACATTTAAGAGCATTGTGTGGTATGGAATGTCATTGCTTTGAAGCTTGTTGATTGGTGTTTAATGACGTTGAATGAAATGTCCATGCTTGACGGTGCGTGGCTTGATGTCATTGTGGCTGTTATGCTGGCATGGCGGTATGGCTGCGGTGCATGCAGGTGAAGGCGCTGTGCGAGAAAGCGCGAGAGATTCTCGTGGAGGAGAGCAATGTGCAGGTGACAACCCTGCACCCCTGTCCATTGCCGTCGTCTCCTTGCTTCCTCTCCTCTATGTCTCACCGCAACTCTCAATAACCGCTCGCTCCCGCCGCTTTAGTCTGCTGGCACCTGCTGTCAAAAAAATTGTAAATGACTCGCCGTGCGTAAAAAAATGTATAAGGTCGCAATCCCTCCCTTGTCAAACTCGCTCAGTAAGCCGCGAGAAAAAGCGTCACGTGACTCACCCCCTATCCCGCGCAACCCCTTCGCTTCGATCTCCCCCCCGCCCCCCCACCTCTCCCACCCCCCACTCCCCCCGCTTCCGCCAGCCTGTGCGTTGCCCGGTGACCATTTGCGGGGACATCCACGGGCAGTTTCACGATCTCGCGGAACTCTTCCGCATAGGCGGCAAGGTACGCGCTACGAGGGTTTCGGCACATGCCAGAGCGTGTTTATCTTGTCCCCCGCCTCCCGTCCCCTCCTTCTCTCTCCCTTCCCCTTGTGTAAGGTGTTGAGTGTTTGTTTCTGTTACTAAATCGCTTTGCATACATGGGTTGTTGGAGTGTTTTTTTATGCTCTTCACACCCTCTTCTTCCCCCCTTTTCCCCACTCTCCACCCCTTGCCCTCCTCCCAGTCTCCCGACACGAATTACCTCTTTATGGGTGACTACGTAGACCGAGGCTACTACTCCGTTGAAACCGTGTCGGTGCGTGGCTGTGGTGGCACGGGGTGCGGGGAAGGAGGGGTGATGGGGTATTGATTAGGCATATGGGGGCTGGAGCATGTGGAGGGAGAGTATGGGGGGAGCGCAAGGGGGAAGCGCATGGGGGAAGCGCATGGGGACAGCGCATGCGGGATGGATTGATTGAGTGGAGCGAGATTGTGGGAGGAAGTGTGAGGGGCCCCGGGGAAAGCGGATGAGCCGCGCGAGGTGTATGTTGTCCTGTTCTTGCTACCAGAGCTCTCTGCTTGTTCCGCCTCGTCAACGTTCTCCCATCCCCCTGTTCTCTTCCTGACCTTTCCTGTCCCCGCCTTTTCTTCCTCGCTATTTTTCACCCTTGTGTACTTTCCCGCTCCTTCCCTCTCCTTCTCTCCTGTCGCTCGCAATCCTTCGCTCGCTTGCAGCACACATGCCATGCCTGCTATGCGTCGCTCTCCTCTCGCCCCGTCCCCATCCTCGCTTTCCCCTTTTCCCAAAGCTTCCTCACTGTTGGCTTCCCCGTACCCCATCCGCCCAAAGCTTCAGTACTCGCACTTGTATTCCACCCGCCAACTTCCCCCTCTTCACCTTACCTTTCATTCCCCTGCTCTTCTCTAATCCTGTTTCCCCTTCTTCCTGCGTTCCCCCGCCCTTCCCGTCCATTTCTTTCCGATCCCCGCGCCCCCCACCCCCCACTCCCTTCCCCCTTCCGCCACTTTCCCCCACCCACGCTCTCCTCCTCCTTCCCCCCTCGCAGCTGCTGGTGTCGCTGAAGGTGCGCCACCCTGACCGCATCACCATCCTGCGAGGCAACCACGAGAGCAGACAGGTGCGCACAGGAAGGGGTGCCCGTGGCAGATGCGTGCTGCCAGGAAGGGGAGGGAAGGGAAGGAGAGGGGAGGGGAAGGGAGGGGAGGGGACGGGACGGGACGGGAGGGGATGGGAGGGGGGGGAGTGAGTGGGTCGAGGGAGGGGAAGGGAGTGGGGGTTGGTGGTGTGGAAGAGAGGGGACATGGTTGCAGGATAACGTTTAAGGGAATGGCAATGGGGGTGCCACGTGTCTTCTTCGTATCCTCCCCACCCTCCGCCCACTACCATGTCACTCACCTGCTGTTGTCCTCGCTGTTCCACCCAAGACTTTCCAGTTTTTGAGTCTCTCTGATGCACCCTCTCCACCTCCCGACCCCCCCGGCGCCTTCCCCCTCTCATCCCCCCTCTTTTCCCATCACCTTTGGTTATTTATTGTCCATTTCATTTCGCCACTCCCTTGCCATTGCCCATTGTGCATTACCTGTTCTCCCATTCCCTCTCCTTTCCCGCTTCCATCTTCCGCCTTCGCGCTCACTTCTCCCCCCCTTGTTTTCCTCTCTTTCCCGTCCGCCCGGCCCATACTCTCTCTCTCTGCGGCAGATCACTCAAGTGTATGGTTTCTACGACGAGTGCCTACGCAAGTGAGAGCACATTGCATTCCACGGCATTGTTCTGCTTCCGTTTTATATATCATTATGCAGTTTCATCTCTCCTCCCGAGTCCCTCCCCTCCCCCCTCACCCTCCCGCGCCCCCAACCCCCTCGCTCTCTCTCACTCTCCCACCCTCCCTCTCTTTCATTCCTTCCCTTTCCTCCCGTTCCTGTCGTTTTCCTCATGGAAGATCAACATGGATGTATTACTTTTCTCACTTGAACACCATATTTATCTCCCACCCCTCAAACTCGCGTCAGGTATGGCAGCGCCAATGTGTGGAAGATGTTTACAGACCTCTTCGATTACTTCCCCCTTACAGCGCTTGTAAGTCTCTTTTTCTTCCTATATTCTTTTGGTCGCCCTTGACCAGATCCTCTTATCCTTCAATCCTCTTATCCTCGTTTGTATGCCAAACTTAGTGCCTTGTATTGCCCAACACTCTCTTCCTGGGTAACCAGGTACTGTTTAGCGCGCGAAAGCATTTCGGTGCACGATGGCTGGGCGCTCCTCCCCTTCTCAACATACCTTCCAATTTAACTCTCTCAATCTGTACCCCACTTTCCCATTGTTCTCAACCAACCCTCCCCAACCAGGTGGAGTCGCAAATCTTCTGTCTGCATGGCGGTCTCTCCCCCTCCATAGACTCTCTAGACCATGTGCGCCAGCTCGACCGCATCCAGGAGGTGCCGCATGAGGGGCCCATGTGCGACCTGCTCTGGTCTGACCCTGACGACCGCTGCGGCTGGGGTATCTCCCCCCGTGGTGCTGGCTACACGTTTGGTCAGGTACGTGTGCCTGCGGTGGTGAAGTAGTTGTGTGAAAAGGGAAGGGCTTGGTTTTGGGTGATATCTAGAGGTTGAAGGATGCGAATTTCAATGAGAGGCAATGGACGTTGAATGGGATGCATGCTTTCATGGACCTATTGTTTTCCAGATGTCACATGTTCACCAATATTTTCCTCCTGTTGTTTTCTCAATATCTCTTTCCTTCACATAACAGGATATCAGTGAACAGTTTAATCAGAACAATGGACTCAACCTTGTGGCACGTGCTCACCAGCTGGTGATGGAAGGGTACAACTGGGCACATGTAAGTTGAGCTCGATTTAGCATCTTTCGTCATTTATTGGTAATGTCGTTCTGACATACGTTTTGTGCACTTCAGGAGCAAAAGGTGGTCACAATCTTCAGTGCACCTAACTACTGCTACCGCTGTGGTAAGTAGTCTGACTTGCAGCACCTGTCTGGTTTTTGTAGATGCTTTTTGCTTTAGCGTGCTAGCATGTTTTTTATCTCCTGGGTTTCTGATGTCATTGATGCATTCTCTACAGGCAACACTGCTGCAATCCTTGAAGTCGATGAAAGCATGAGTCAAACTTTTATCCAGGTGCGCCATTTGTCTGCCATAACTTGTCAAGAATGGTGCTTTTGAATGCAACATAACCCTTATTATTGTTATCATGCTTGCTAATTCCCACACTTGCCGTTCTGATGTCCTGTCGTGAACCAGTTTGAACCTGCTCCAAGACGAGGCGAACCTGATGTCACTCGCCGGGCACCTGACTACTTCCTCTGACAGCTGTCCACTATGCTCCTGACACCATTGTTTTAGCAGATCTGATGTGAAGCTTTAAGTTCTAGTGGTGCTTTGAACTGCATGTTCTTCCCAACCGCATGTTGGTTTCCAGTTCGCAGTTTACACCCTTTTTTTTTTCAAGTCAGGCTTGTCATGTCTTTATTTGCCACTTTCAATACAGTCAGGGAGGGGTCATGCCACTAAAATGACCAGTGAACGGTAAACATTTGAACAACTAACCTTGCTGAACGTAGGTGCCACTCATCTGAAGCAAGCTACGGTATTGGCTTGTTCAACCTCATGTTTCTTGTCAAACCGTGACAGTCCTTCGGGTTTTTGGGTCTTGAAGGTCAACCATCAACATGCCCTATAATAATATACCAATTAGTAGTCTATGTGCTTAGCTTGCAAATAAGTAAAGTACAATGGAGCTGGGAAACGAAGTATTGGCGGAAAACGCGGAGTCTAAATATCTTTATCACTGATAGTTGCTCAACTGGATGGACGTGGATGCAGACTGAAAGGTATAAGGAGAGCTCTGCCATGTGTTAACGCCAGCCCACTGACCGTCCATAATGGAAGAAGCGTCCCATATGCTGAGATACGCGAACACGGATTTAGAAGGAAAAGGATCCGCATCCGACTTCGCTACTTCACGAACGACGACGCCATCTATAAACCACCTGCATCACCATATGTTTGTCAGCGAAAACTATATGTGTTGAGTGAAATCACGCACAAGGTAAGAACACTCACTGAAGCTTTTGTGGTCCATAATATATAGTGTAATTGTGGTAGTCAGTAGATGCATCGAAGCCCAAATCAACAACGAGCTCATGATGGCCAACGCTGGATCGAAATTGCATGTGTCACTTCAGGGTTAAGGACATCAATCTCAAATGCTCGAGGACTTACCCAGAAACGTAATAGTTAGTCTGTACTCTCCCGTTGTCGCCAAGAAACTCGAAATCAATTTCATCTTGATCAGTACTCCCCTCCCACGTGGAGACATAGAACGACGAAACTACACCACTGCATTACGTGTCAGAACGAGCCACAAGCAGGTGAGGCATCCGTTAAGACAGTTAGACTGACCTGACGGATCCAGTTGGTGTCTTCACCAGAGAAGAGAACGATGTTCCAGGGTAGAACTTGTCATTGGTTCTAGCTCTTCCAGCTGGACAAAAACGTGGCGTTACAATGCTGAAACCGTGTGTCTTTTGCACGGTAAGATGCGCGGCTCCTTACTTCCTGAAGGATCGAGCGTAATGGAAACATAGCTTCCTTGAATGGAAATGTGATCATACTCTCCTGCGTCCTTGGTATAAAGGGTTGCGCCTGACCCTTGTAGAGCTCGTCTGAACCCGCGTGAATGAACTCCTGGAATCGAAAGGAGACTGACAACAAAAGATGTGTTGTTAGCCGATTAAACCTTCAAACAGCAACGTAGTTTTCAAATAGTGGGCATCGGGCGTCACAACTTACGTGAACACAAGAGCTACCGAGGTGAGAACAACCTGAGATGGCTGGGAGGACGCCATTCCAAGAGGATCAGCCTTGAAGGAAGCAAGCAGGCCGATCACTCCCAGCGAGGCAAGTCGTGAACTTTAGTGGAATGACGACTGGCTTTTATGTTGGCAGTGAACCCAGTCGCGCCTCGGGTTTGACGACTCAGTAGAATTGAAACAAATATGTGAAATGTATATTCTGACTACAGTGCGCCGCCTCTCTTACAATTGAAAGACATTGAATCAGTAATATCATGTTTATCCAGCACATTCTTACAGACATGTGAATGGAGTAAATATACCAGTACAACAAATACGCTTATGTTACCTTACCGTGTATTGCTTGAGTGGAGAATGACAAATAACGTTGAGAGCACTGTATGTACGAATAGTGTCTTCGTGCGGGAGTAGCAAGTACCGTACCTAAAATTGAGAACCCTGGTATAATCTGAGGGGAGACACTATGCACCCACCTAGACAATTCCAGCCTCAGATGCATACCATGAGATATGGAAAAAACATACACTACTGAAAATGATTACAAGAGGCCTTCAGACAAACGAGAAATGTTATTCAAGGAGCTTATATACAGGGTGAACGTCACCTGAAGCTTTCCTACAGGACAAGGATGTACAAAAGCTCAGCTGAGCGCCAGAACAGCCTCCTGCTGACTGCTGTCTGATCAATTCCTTATCCATTTGGTTGGCAACAGAACTGGAGTATGGTTGCGCCTGTAACCAGCCCTTCGGGCGGCTACCCTGTACTAACCAGCAACAAGATGTTGGAAGAGCGAGGGTTGTTGATACTGGACGGCTAGGAGGAGGACAGCAGAGGATGTATGTACAGGAGTGTGATGCATGCACGAGTGCATCATCGGTGTGTGCAGGCTGGTGGGAGAGGAGGATCCTACATATAAACGAGGAGGCCTATGACAGAGAGCAACTAGCTGGCCACGTGGCCTGGCGATGATGCGAGGGATCGTGATGAGAAGCAGGGAGCTCGCTGAGTATAACCTGGACTCGACGGCTTTAGGAGCATGCCATAAGTTAATAACCAGGCACACGAGGTCCCTGAAGACGGCTGCATCGAGATAAACCGACTAAACCAGGTGAGGCATATAAGGACCCCGTCTCCAGGAGCTTGGAAGACATGTGTGGAAGAAAAAAAGAACAGCTTCTCTCCGGATGATTGAGATGATGTCTGCCTTCTTTGCATTTTCGGAACTCGACTGCAAGGAGCTGTGGCTGGAAACATTTCTTGCTGCACGCAGTCCTGGTTGCTTAAATTACTCGGCAGAAGCGATCGCAGCAACAGCAGCAGGAACAAGTCGCAGGGAGCATTGACGGCTGCGGGTCGTGAAGGCTTAGGTACCGGAGGTGAGCATGGGCGAGGGCAGGAGGAGGTTGACGCATAGGTGCATAGCAAGCTGGACTGGAGCTCGCGTTAAGATTGGCGCACGTGATGGAAAACGCGAAGACAGGGGGGTGGTGGGCGGAGAACGGCGGAGTGGAAGGGCGGAGGAAGCATGGCGCGATCGAAGCTTAAGTGTAACGGAGGGGTGAGGTCGATCGAGGAACCCACTGCCACAATTCGAGAAACCGACACAGAGGTAGACGCGGCAGCGAGTTGATAGCGGTTTCAAGGACGGACACAAGGGAACGCAATCGAGGGAGCACGCGCAACCCATCCATGCACCCCGCTAGATATCCGTCGCGCTCGTGTCACAAGAACCAAAACCTCTTCCTCGCTGCGACGCGTTCGCCACGACGCGGGAAAACAAGGCGGGTGGAGGCGGCAGATGCGGCACGAGGCGGACGGGGCGAGAGGCTACGAGAGGCAGCGGCAATCCGATGTGAAGAGCCAAGACGCAAAGCGCGCCCACCCTGGGTGTCAAGAGCGGGGAAAAGTCAAACACCACGCGTCTGCGTCTGCCAGCGTTCGTCCGTGAATCTGCGGTCTAAGAGCAACGCAGCGGCGGTTTTCAGGGGCTCGGGGCGGCGCGGCTGCAGTATACCGGAATAGGAAACCAAGGCTGACGAGTAAAGCACAGGAAGGAGGGAGCTTGGGAGACGCGTCTTCAGGATGAAGACATGTAACCGTCGCCGTAGGCATCGCACTCGCTAGCTGCCGTAACGGCGGCACGCACAGCGGCTCTTGCGGGGGAAGGTGACGCGGAACGGCAGTGAGAAGCAGCTGCGGTAGTAGCTACGGCGGCGGCGGCGGCGGCGGCGATAGTGGTGGCGACATCGCCGGTGGAAGCGGAGGTTCGCTGCGCGTCGCGTTGGGTGCCGTCCGTCTCGCCCTCTACCTCGATGGCCGCGCTGTTGTGCGACAGCAGTCGCGTGCGAAGGCGACGAAGCTCCTCCTGTCGCATCTCCAGTCGCTGAGGACGGAAAAGTGGACGAAAGACGGGAGAGAGAATAACGACAGGTAAGAATAAGGGAAAAAGCAAACCCAGCGTCGATCAAAAAAAAGGAGAAAGCGAAGGCCCTATCAACAGAAAGAAAGGCAAGGACGAGCGGATGACAAAAATAATGAGCAGCAGGGAAGGGGAACACGAAAGTGCGCGAGGGGGAGGTAAGGGGAGAGGAGAGCGGGTCGAAAGAGTGGAAGAGAGGAGGGTGTGGGGCGGTGCAGCGTTGGTAAGCGTGCATGGCACATACGTCTCGTAGGGAGTGATTCTCCTCCTCCAGCTGCGCCATCTGCGCCTCCTGCTCGTCGATACGCGCGCGCAGGATCGAATCGCTCCCATCGGCAGCGCACGCGACAGCAGTAGCAGCCGTATCATTACACGCGGCAGCTTCGTGGCTCGCCACAACGTCACGCCCGGGCGCGTCGGCGTCGCACGCAGGCGCCAAGACGAGCATGTCGCAGACGACCTCGAAGAATCGCACGTCGAAGCCGGCGACAGCGACGCGATCCTCCTTGTGCGCGGCTCTCTCCCGGGGAGCGTCCTCGCTGCAGGAAGCACCCTCGGAGCACTCAGCGCGAGAAACAAGGGGCACGTCACGGGGAAAAATGCGCATGCCTTGGCTGTTGCCTTCGCTTCTTTCCTCGTGATCGTATGGCACGGGCTCGGGAGTCCGGAGGCGAATGCAACCGCTCATGGAGCCGTACGGATTGACGCTTAGCAAGGGAGCCATGTCCGCCATTCCCGCCAAGTCCGGCGCTAAGCCGGGCATGTCTTCGCTGTTCCCGTGGTCGCAGGGAAGGTCGCCAGTCGCACATGCTTCTGCTGATCCTGCCGCCGCTGCCGCTGCTGCTGCTGCTGTTCTCACGGCGACGTCTGCTGTTACTCGCGGAGATGCGGAGTCTCCCGTGAATGCAGCAGCGAAAACATCAGGACGCTGAAGCAGCAACGGGGAGGTAGCGGCACAGGGGGCAGGCGAGCTGAAGGATTCGTGCTGGCGGATAATGAACGACGAGGTGTTGCGCGGAGAGCGCGGCATCAGAGGCGCGGGGGATGACACACTCGCGCGGGCATATCGTTGCCGCCGCTGCTGCGGCGACTGCTGCTGCTGCTGGGACGACGGAGATGCGTCATTCCACCATGCAGCCCGGGAGTTGCCAGAAGAAGCACCTAAACGTGGAAATTTGCCTTCAGGAATGCGATAGCCTCGAATTCCCTTGCTTCGGGTACGTATCGGCCGCTCTCTACCCCGCGATTGCCTTTTCCGGTGGAGACACTGCGGGGAGTTTGTAGCCGAGAATCGGTTCGTGCGATAAGGGAATGCAGGAGCGGGAGCCGCGGTGTTAACAGGCTTCAAGGGTCGAGCGGACGTGCAGTAGGCGGAAGGGAATTGGAGGTGGACGTTAGGTGACATGCCGCCAGTCCAAGGCGGCATTCTGTGATCAGTGAAATCGGTGGAGCGGGAGAAAGAGGCATAGTAGCTGTAAGTCGAGGAAGGCACGGAACCTATGAGGAAGAAAGAAGGGTAGGGCTCGTGGATCACACTTCCATCCATAGCGGCGTGGTGTTACGCAGTGTTGCTTGTCTGTCTCGAGTACTTGTTTCTTGCTTCAGCAATGTTCGCAGTGTAAAATGTGGAAAAGATGTCTTCACGAGGGATTGAAGAAGGGTGGAGTGAAGGGAGAGCTTGGCACAAGTGGACGGAAGGGAGGGTGAGGTGAGGGAGAGGAATGGATGGTAGGGTTGGGTCTTCCCTTGCGAGTAGGACACACAACTGGCCAAGGCAGAAAGCAGAACTCAGAGGTAGGAATGGGGAGGATGGGGGTGAACGGGGTGAAGTGGAGTGGAAGGGGATAAAGGGGTTCGCTCGCTTGGTTGGAGAGATCACACATGCGAAGATGGAATGCGACTCGCGAGTGAGCGAGCGCATATTGGCGAAAGTGATGCATGCGAGGCGTCAAGTGACTCATGCTCGGGGGCGATGGCGTGGATGTTGGGGACCAGCGGATGGGGACTGGCGCTGGTCTGAGCGTCGCAGAGTCGCATGGTAGAGGCGAGGCGGGGTGTATGGTGCGTGGACCCTGCTGGATTCCGCAGAAAGAAAGGGGTGGTGCAAGGGGGAATGCATCAGTGTGCGCTACGCATGCGACAGTCAAAGTTGACGGAGAACTTCTGCCGTTCGCGAACGGAACTTCGTCTGGCTTTGTCAAACGGAGAGGGACATCGCTGGTTACACTTTTAGTCAGGAAGACCATCCCTGACGTGGTGTGGTGGCTGCTCCTCGGTGCTGCTGCATGGGAAAGAAGAGGGGGGGAAACAGTGCTGCACGCGGGAGGTCCTCTGGCAGTAGGGTGACTCCCTTGCACAACGGATTTTTTTGGGCTCAGGACTGGTTTGTTCCTACAGCATTCCGAATCAACCCCCCTGTGACAAGGAACTCTTCCCACGTGTGCCTCGTCGCCAAAGCATCGCTGGTCGATCACTGTGACACTGACCGAGCCAATTATGCGAGGGGAACCAATCAGAGAAAGGGCTGTGCATCACCATACGAGGTTGACGACGACGGAGCTGCTTCACGTATAGGTCAGGGAGCACCGAAGCAGACTCATTGGCCTAGAGATAGAGAGGGTGGTGTGGTGTGGCGAGCAAACGGGCTGGTGGTCTTAGGTCAGGGACTTTGGACAGGTCAGGGCAAGGATTTACTTCTAGCCTACAAGTTGTGTATGGGCAAATGCTTTGTCAGTGTGGCTAAAATTGGGCAGTCTTCAGTTATCCCTCTGGTTGGCCAACTGATCAGAGCCTAGTACACTGATGAGGCGCGGTGAAGATGTTCTGTACTCTTGTCGAAAAATGTTTCATCAAGTATGTTTTTCTAATTCCATGGGTGCGTTGCGGTTCAAGCCTGCTACATTTGTGTACCGTTTTTCAGTATGGATATACAATCTGACTTCCCTGCCAGTATGAAGCCAGGATGCCAGACTAGCAGTGATATATGACATAACTGAAGAGTAGGTTCAGCAACAACTTGAAGCCAGGTGCACAAACTGAAACCACTTTTCCTGTACGTGTCCCAACATACTTTTCAGTACACGCTCTTTGAAATCGATAGCATTCCTCCACCCCTTGACCGAAACAGGTGTGCTGTACTCTAAAAGAGGGAAAGGCCTCGAAATTATCCGTGCGCCAATTCCTAGAAAACCCGCATCGTTCCCCCCTTCCTGGGTACACCAAGAACGATCCATCTTCCCGACGGGTGAACCGTTCCAGGCTCGTGGTGTTAGAGAGGGCAGTAAGCTGGACGGCTGAGATGAAACGCAATTCCCCAATCCAAAAGCGACTGAAAAGGTAATCGCACGAATCGCCGATAAGATCTCGACGTCCCCAATTGGAGGAGTTAGGGGCATGTTACGATTTCCGTTTTGCGTAGCGAAGCTTGTCCGCTCTTTTCTCACCTTCCTCCTCCTGAACCTCCCTCACCTACGGAGCGAACACTAGCACCACACAGTGACCAAGTACTTGCTCCATCCAGAAACCGAAGCATCTCCCCTATTAATAAGACCTCGACAGTATACATATCACGCAATGTGCAACAAACGTTTCAGCTGTACTTATACATTTGCAGCAAGAAAGACGTAAATATAAGGGCACAACCCCTAGAAACACACTAAACATCATGACATCAGATTCTGTTGTGAAGAAATGAGGAATGAATGAACTAGCATGCAGGTGAGTACAAGTAGGAAAACCTAAAAGTGTTGTACCCCATATTCTCTACCCCACTACAGCCTACACAGACTATAAAATATGAGTTTTGACACACCCCCATAGGCAAAGTGGGGGAGAACAAGAGGTCAAAAGACCAGTCAAGCAAAGCATAGCAAGCTCAGGGTGGATCACAATGTCACCACACAGTCCGAGCACAAGAGCGAAGCCACAAGGCCAGTTCACATGCAAGATCATATATAAAGGTAAACAGGCAAGTGCAGGTATAGAAAGATCACAGTACAAGCAAGGTCAAGAAGTGAGCAAGCGAGGCCAAGTAGGCACAAGACCTAGCATCGTACAGAAGCGCTGATGATCACAAGGCGGAAGTGCCTTGGTAAAGATATCAGCAGTGTTGGCCTCAGAGGCCACGTAAACAAGGCGCAGCTGACCACGCTGCTGCAGCTCACAAGCAAGGAAGTAGCGAAGAGCAATGTGCTTCGTTCTGTGCTCCAGTCTGTGCTCCCGACACAAGGCCAGCATGGCCTTGTTGTCTACGTACAGAACTGGAGGAGAACGAGGCGGCTCTCCTAGGTCAGTCAGCAGGTAGGTGAGCCAGCGTAGCTCTTATGCAGCCATGGCCCCCGCGTAGATCTCAGCCTCACAGCTGGAGCCGAGAACAGAAGACGAGCGGGTAGACCGCCACGAAACAGAGCCGGAGCCAAGGCTGAAGGTGTAACCCTGTGACGAGCGCTGCGTAGCCTGGTCGTCAGCCCAAGAAGCGTCTGCGTGACTTGTGAGGACCACTGAACGTCGCCCTCCAAGCACTAGCCCCATGCCCGACGTACTGCACAAGTAGCGCAACACCCTCTTCGCTGCAGCCATGTGCTCTGGTCGGTGTCTCCCAGGAGCAACATAGCGTGCCAAGATGTTAAGAGGGTATGCTAGGTCAGGTCGTGTGCAGGTCATTAGGTATACGAGGCAGCCAACAAGCTCTGGGTACGGGCCACTCGGCTCTACGGACTCATCCGAAGGCAGAGCTGAGAGCTAGTGGCCAGTAGACACAGGAGTGGCCTGAGGCGAGGAGTACGTGAAGTCGAAGCGCTGAAGGACCTGCTGCACCATGTGTGACTGAGTCAGGGTAATGGTGCGCTGTGCTCTGTCCCGGGTGATCTGCAAGCCAAGGTAGCTGCGCAGTTCACCCAGATCTGAACACGTGTGTCTCTTCTGCAGCTCGGACTTCACGTGGGCGAGTCCAGCAGTGTCAGCAGTGGCAAAGACCAAGTCGTCGACGTACACGAGGATGTAGAACGGCGGCAAAGAGGTGTCGGTGCGCAGAAACAGCGACGGGTCGGCAGTAGACGGAGCAAACCCAAGAGCCGCAAGTGTAGTCCTCAGTGTGTCGTGCAACTCACGGGGAGCCTGGCGGAGACCGTAGACTGGCCGCCAGAGGCTCCACTGGGTACCAGGAGGAAACAACCCAGTGAAGCCACGTGGGCGGCGCAGCCAGATCTCCTCGTGCAGGGTGCCCTGTAGGAAAGCTGTGCTGAAGTCAAGAGAGTGAAGCTCGTAGACGTGCTGAGCGGCTATGTGCAGCAGCACCCGAAGAGTGGTCATCTTCGGGGTGGGAGAGAAGGTCTGAAAGTAGTCAACTCCCTGCCGCTCACTGAAGCCAAGAGCCACGTAACGCGCCTTGAAGACAGGCGGAGAGCCCGGCGGCCGCTTCACCCTGAAAATCCACATGCCACTGATAATGTTCGCCCCAGGTGGGGGAACCTCGTCAACGTAGGTGCCTGTGGACTTCCAGGAAGCCATCTCTGCGTCCATGGCTGACTGCCACTGAGAGGAGTAGGGACCCTCGATCGCCTCAGCGTACGATCGAGGAGTCGGGATGTTTGGTGCATCCGGGTCTCCCTCACGGGCAATCAGCGTGGACACGAGATGAGGCAAAGCAGCAGCAAAACATTGGAACTCCTCCTGCCTGTCCTCAAGGACGTCCGTGCTAAGAGCACACTCACCCTCGACGGACGGAGGACAGACAGACCCAGACTCAGCAACAAGACTAGCAGC